CTTTGGAAGCACCTAAATCCCTAATCCAGGATTGGGCCTCTCTTGTGCTAACACACAGTAAGAGACACTCATTACCCTAAGAAGTTTACACTTTAAAATATTCTACCTTTAAAAAACAAACCAACCCCACAACGGACCACCCCCCCTAAAAAACTACTTTTATCTTCCCTGAAGGGTGGGTATAGTGCCTGATAGAGGGCGTCTTGGATATTATTTTGATATTCAGTTGGTGCAGGCTTTGACTCTCTGAACAGTGGTAAACATGAAAGCTCCTCTCTCTTTATTGTGTGAGCAAATGGAATGTTTTGGAGTTTCCTCACTTACTAGTACCTCCTGCCCCCTTTACTCAGCAGCCTCCCAATTTCTTGAAATTTGTTCAGGATCACAGGCTTTTTATATAATCCTGTGATGTAGAGGACTTGTTTACATATGTTGGTGCTGTTGGCCCTCTTCCTGTTCTCCCTGCATACAACCAGGATGCCATCTTTCCTTGTGTTTCTTTCCATTCTAGGGCTAGGAGGTTCACAGATTGATTGATTTAATGTGGGAGAGCTGGAAAGTCCAGATGAATAGTAACTTTGGTCAGTTGAAGATGATCTGTTTATCTCTTGCAAAGTGCCCTGCCAGCAGTGATTAAATGTGTGTGAGAGGTTGGAATAACCCTGCTGTAAAACAATAGAGGCAAATGCAATCTGGATATGTTATGTAATTCCCTTTCAAGAAGGCTTGGAACTGGGTCATATCTGTGTGAGAAATAAAGGCAGGCTGGTGTCTGTGTAATTCGTACCTGCCTGTTCAGTGTTCAGGTTGCGTATCCCAGTTTTTTCAGGCAAGCTGGGAGCTCTCCAGAGAAACAGAGCTTATGCAATTGAAAATTATTAGGGGAGCTGCCAAGATCTTGGGTGGAGGTGGGGCAGGAGGGATGTCTACATGATAATATGAACGGAAGAGTTTATCATATTTTTATTACACTGGAATCCTTTAGAAAGCTTCTGTTTTACCCCTGCATATCACGCAAACTGCGGAATAGTTTGTTAGATTAAGATGCACTTGCTACTGATTTCAAAGTACCTTAATAAGTTGTGATTCAAAAAAAAAACAACCAAAAACGGGATGAGAACCTGATAAACCTTTACATATGTAAACGGCCTTTATAAAGAGGATGTGATCAATTGTTCTGCATGTTTACTGAAGGTAGGACAAAGATCTAATAGGCTTAATCTGCAGGAAAGGAAATTTAGGTTAGATATTAGGAAAAACTTTCTAGCTATAAGGGTGGTTAAACTCTGGAATAGGCTTCCAAGGGAGATTGTGGATCTGCTTCACTGGAGGATTTTAAGAACAGGTTGGACAAAGGTATCAGGGATGGTCTAGGTTTGCTTGATCCTGCCTCAGCACACATGGATGGACTAGGTGACCTCTTGAAATCCCTTTCTTCGCAGCGTTTCTGTGATTCTATGATGCACTGCAAATGAAGGTGTGACCATTGCATGGGTGGGCATACCCATAATAGTTATAATCTAGCCAGCATGAGTAACAATAGCAGTGTAGATGTGGTGGCATGCACTTCAACACAGGCTAGCAAAGAACAAGTCCAGTACATACTCTGATTGATAGCCTGTTCTGAAATCCATGCCATCATGTCTACACTGCTGCTGTGACCCGTGCAAGCTAGACTAAAGGTATTAGAGGTGTGCGTACACATGATACAATCACATCTTCACTTGCAATGTAGACATACACCAAGTGATCCTCTTCTCCCCCCCCCCCCAAAAAAAAAATCCAGTGAGACCACAGTTCTAATTTTTCTGTGAATTATACAGGCAACACCAGCAGCTTCACAATTACAGGTCTGAAAGCAACCTGACTATTTAAGCTAAAACAAATATATTTTTAGACCTGTGCATCAGTTGGAAGGTATGTTTTTTGTTGCTACAGGTGCAAATAAATTGCTGCTCTGAAATAAACATCAGAATTTAGCACAACACTTATTGTCAAGAAAAACTTTTTACAGTAGACTGGTTTATGCTTCCTCCATTGCTCCCTCTGTTTTTTTCTCAGTAGCTGCTGTGGTCATTTATGGGTGATTTAGAGCAGTGTTTCTCAAGCTTTTTGATACCAGGGACTGGCTAGCTGCCTTCCTAAACTGTGCCAGGGAGATCTCGGGGACCAGCATCAGTCTATGGACCAGTTGTAGAGAAACACTGATCCTAGAGCATGGAGCAAATAGTAGTGAGTCTGGGGATCTGTGGACAGATCCTTAGCTGGAGTGAATTGCCATGGGTCCATTTAAGTCAGCTGAGATTTGTGTTGTATCTGCCTTCTGCTGGACTCCAACAACCAACCTATCCTGTTTAGTCCACTAAACAGCTGTTGAACTGTAAGAACTTTTGGTTGCTTCCACCAAAGACTAGAATTGAACCTGTAATCCAGTGATGAAAGGCTCCGTATCACAATACCAATCCCCTGAGCCATCGTCTTACCTTGATTTCATTTTCTTTTGTTCTCTTGCTTTCCCTTCGTGTCTTGCCGACGCATTCTCACTGTTACTCTTGTCTCGGTCTGATTACTTTAACTGGAATAATTTTAACAGACTTAGCTGTTAGATTTGTATTTTTTCAGGCCTTATTTTACAGGGTTGTGAGGTGTTTCTTAACTTCCAGGATATCCAGCCTATAGTGCACTGTGTTAATACAAATAATATACCAGAAAATGAAAGTTCTGCATATTTTATGAAAAGTTTATGTAGATATTGAAAGCTTGCCTACAGGCCTATTTTAACTGCTTGGAAAAGCGTTTTAGAGACTCATGTCCTTTTAAAATGTGTATTTCAATTCCCAAATACATTGCTGCTTAAATCTTCAGTGGCATCGGTGCTAGGGGAAAAAGCAGATGATTGGCAATGCATGAAGAAAAGGGAAAAGGTTTGATAAGGCACATGTAGGGTCATGCTGGTTATGTTGAATGGTGATCTTTCAAGGGTCAAGTTTGAACACATCTTGAGCTTTTTTCCAAGGATGGATTCGTTATCTACCATTATCTTAATTTTCTCTCCTTTGACACTTTGTTTTCCACCCACCCTATCCAATACTAAGATTCCCTAACCCTGTACAGCTGTCATATGATACTGTTCTCCTTGAAACACAGCTGAGACACTTCCAGACAGAAAGATCTGTCATGAAATCCATGCTGGGGCAATAGATGGTCTAAGCTGACAAACCTGTGCTTTCATGATCACCTTGGTCTTTATTTCCAGTTTACTTTCTCATTCTGTACAGAGGCTCCGACTGTGACAAACTGAGATGGGACTAGGTGAGAGTTTCTCTACAGCCCAGCATTCGTGTCCCATTCCCTACAGGAAGTAGCTGTAACCTGTCTTTTTTGGGCTGATGTATTGTTATCCCCTCCTGAGCTTTTATTCTTCTCCTTGCCTTCCTTTAAAAGGGATGGTTCAACCAATGGATCCTGGGCCCTTGTCACAGTCTTTCTTCATGTTGTATTAAGGGAAGGTTGTCTTTGCCTATAAGATACACAGACCACTGTGAAAAGTTGAAGGCACTCAGATTAATAGGCTGCAGTATAAAATCCCATGGTACATAAAGTCTGTATGTGAAACTGAATTGCTGGACCATGAAGAGGTGTCAAATGATCATCTCAATCCACTTTCTGTTTCCTGGAAGTGACTTTTTCAGCTGGCATTTTGAACCTAAGCTTCAGACACACAGCAACATCTGAAATCAAATTGAAAGGTCACCTTTGTCTTTAATAGTTGTACATTTGGATAGTAGTATCTTGGAATTTTTTTAGGTGTTTGCATAATTTTTTATATAAAATATGAATATTTTAGCAGCAGCTTGTTATGCCAGTATTCACAAGAGGATTCTCCTGGCCTGCATGTACTAAGAATAACAAGCAAGATGTTCTGGCTTGAGTGATTAGTTGTTACATGTCAGTTGAGCCTCTGATTCTGGTTCCAGAGTTCTGAGCCTCCATCATCTTGGTACATTGCTGGTGAGCATAGTGATTCTGCTATCTACAGATGACTTTGCCTGTGTTGTGAGGACTTCCTTTTAGAAGTTGAGAGCTAATTTTGTTTCGTATTTATTCACTCTGGGTCACGGGAGGAAGCACATGTGAAAAGTTCATTGGGGGTAGATCAGGGGCACAGTGTGGAGGTCTTTCATGTCATACTTTGGCTAATACGTTTAATTCCCTGGGTGTCTAGTCAGGTTTTCAAACCTTATATGTAAGTGGATGGGTATGATTTGGGTATGTGGCAGGGAGAGGGTCAAATTGATTATATAAATTAGCTCACAAAAGCTTATGCTCAAATAAATTGGTTAGTCTCTAAGGTGCCACAAGTACTCCTTTTCTTTTTGTGTGGTATAGAGTGACTGAAAATATAGAGGAAGAGGTAGAGAACACACTGTAGGGAGAGAAAAAAGGACGGGGAAAAGGAAACCTACACAGAAGAGGAATCCACAGAGAAAGTAGACAGCATTACCACTGCTGTAGGAAAGAATAGGTGGAGTGAAGCCAGCAAGGGGAAGAAAGCTTACAAAAGTAAGAGAGATTAGTAATTAAAAATAATAATAATTAATAAAGAGGAATAACGGTACACAATAAGCAGTGCACACGTTTTATTTGCATTCTGCAGGTTTTGGCCTTGGTGCATAGGTTCTGTCACGGTAGCACAGACATCTTTCACTATGGCTTCTTTGCTTAATTTTTGAGTATTGGCTAAATTTTTCAAGCCCTGGCAATAACTCATGCAAGATCTGTGAATAGATTGGCTGCGGGTTACTGCCTTCCTCATCTCCTCTTTAACGATTGTGTCCATGATTCTCTCTTCTGAGAGGATTCTGATGTCCATGATAAATATTAACTGTAGTTATGGGACCACACAAACTTGTCATGGGTTGCACTTGGAAGGCTTTTATATCTGAAATTCTGCATGACTGAGTTTTTCTTGAATGGATTTTTTCTTCCTACTCCTGCAGGGCTGCCTTGCAATAGACCATGAGCAGGTAATGCACAAGGAGCACCACTGGGAATCATGTCGGACGAGTCAATCTCAGGGAGTGATCCAGACCTGGACCCGGACTTGGAGCAGGAGGATATGGAAGAGGAGGAGGAGGAAGATGAAGAGGCAATGGAGGAGGACAATGACGGGGATGACGAGGAAGACTTACTCGATGAGAATGGTGAGTGATTGAGGTTGTGAGCACACACAAACACTTTACCATGCATAATCACTGGAACTGCTAATTCTCAACGTATGGCTTTGGGGAGCCCCATGAAAATGAAATCTAAATAGAGAGGGGAGAAAACAAACCTCCATTATGGGTTTTGCTGAGCATTTCAAGTGTAGAGACTGTTCATGCGTCAAACGTTTCCCAAAGAAAAATGTATACTGTTTGAACTATTGAATGAATCCCTCTTTGGTGTTCTGTCTTCACCCTTCCTGGATGTCTGGGATTATTTCTGATTGCAGTGGCTGGAATTCCGCTTCATTTGTTTGTGGGTGGTACTGTTCTCTTATTAATATTGACAGAGAGTCACTTGTTTTCTGCCTCTGAGAAAGGGTATGGATTAATCATATTTCAAAAATTTGGTGTTCAGGGTGAACTACTGATAAGAAATGAAACCTAGAGTACTGTAACAGATGCAGTTGTGAGTATTGGCATTCAGATGCCGTTCTCCAAGGCTTCTGGTTATATCTGTATTTAAACCTGGGTTTGGAAAATCTTCGTTTAGTACTGGTGGAATGAGATAATAGAACAGCTATGCTGTCCATCTAGTGGTTCTGGCTCTGATCTAATATAGTTCTGTATTTTTAAGTCTCTAACAGAAACTGTCATAGGACTCCTGCTTTAGTTTGACTTTGTGTTGAAGAAGTGTAACTTACAGCAGTGGGGCCTGTGATTAGAGCAGGGGACTGAAAATAAGGACTTCAAAGTATATTCATGGATGTGTCACTGTGGCTGATTCTGTGTGATCTTGAGCCTGTCTTTAATCTTTCCAGGTCTCAGTTTTCTAATCTGCAACATTATGATACTTTGCTGTACATATTTGTAGTCTTAATTCAGGTTTGTAAGGAACTTTGATATTCTTGAATCCTTATTAAAGAAATGCCTAACACTATTAAAAGGACACAGTTGGGTCAACTTTGCCCCATAACTTAAGTTTTTTAAAAATAAACCTCAGACCAATATATTTTAAAATGTATTTATTAAAATTCCAATGGAAAAGTGTGGGTTTTTTTAAAAATAAACATTCCTCTTCATCTGTTTTGCAACTCCTAAATTGCAGCATTGTGAAGATGGTGCATGAAATTGAAAGTGAAATTGACTTGAAACTGAGTAGCCTATTTTCATTGTCTAGTTTGAGGGAAATGGAAGAAGTACATAACATAAATAGAGAAAAACTAAGTAGACTTCCAAAATAATTTGTTTTGTCAACCTCATGTGTTATCTGTAAAGCAAATAAGGAGACCAAAAATGTGAACTCGTGCTCCTCTCTGCTTCTGTGAGCGTCGGGGTGCTTGTGCCAAAACCCAGAGAGCCCAGCTTTTGGAAAGTGGGGAGGGGGCAGCGTAGTATTATCTTGAGAAATTTCCCTCTTTGTTGTGAATACACTATGCATTCTTACTTGAGACAGGCTCCACCAACAGTGGGCTGCTAAGGGACAGCTCCTTCAGGGGGGATCAGTGGGTTCTGTAGGCTGAACCCCCTGTTACATATGTGGGGTTGGGAGATAGGGCAAATCCCATGATTCGGTTAAAAAAATGAAGACGAGTGAAAATTTGCTGAGTCTAGTCCTCTATGTGACAGTTACCCAGGTAGGTGGGCATGGGACCCTGACTTAATCTGATAGCATCCTATAAATTGGGCTTGTTACTGTCTGAGTAGAATCCTAAATGAGGGATAGAGGAGGAATGCAATAGCCTCTGTAATTGTTATATGAAGTGTAGGTGTAACTGTGTCAATCCCAGGATATTAGAGAAACCAGGTAGGTGAGGTGGTAATATCTTTTATTGGACAAACTTCTGCTGGTGAGAGAGACAAGCTTTCAATCTTACACAGAAGAGCTCTGTGTAAAATCAAAAGCTTGTCTCTGTCACCAACAAAAATTGGTCCAATAAAAGATATTGCCTCACCCGCCTTGTCTCTGTAATGGTTAGCCCATCAAACATCCCATTTAATCAGGGAATATTTGTGTCTAAGGCAAGAAAGGGCCTTATTGCTGAAAAAAGGTGCTGTTGGTGAGGGGAAAAATATAATTTTACTTGCACTTTTTCTGTAGTGCTGGAAGATAGATGTTAGTCTGTTGCCTTCTACTTTTGACCTATGCTGAATTCCTTTCAGTTCTGGAAGGACTGTCTTTAAACTGCCACTGTGATTCCAAGGAGGAAAGATGGATGACTTCCAATCTCTTCAACCCCTAACAGAGAACCCCTGTTCTAGTGGGGGTGGCTGTTTCAAGAGGAAAGGGGGTAAATCATTTTTGCTACTTCCCAGAAGATTTAAGAATAATGATTTAACAGCATTTCATGTGGGTGGGTGAATGTTAAGGGAAAAGAGATCCCAGGGTTGATGGATTTTTTTTTTCTTCCTCCTCCTTCTGGGCAGCATAAGACACTGCAGCTGCTCCTTGGGGAACACTGTTTTATTAGATGATTCCATCTGCTATCGTACAGGAGCATAACAAACTTTATTGCTCCTTGCATTCTGCCTCAGATCTTTGATGCAAGCAGTCTGAACAGTTCAGCCCTTTTTGGTGTGTGACTGGAAACTGGGAGGTGAGGCAGGGAAAAAGTGGAGCCTGTCATAATAAAACTGGCATGGAAAGGAGGCTCTTCTGTTTATGGAGGTGGGGATGAAACAAAAGGAAGGACTTGCCTCTAGCCCAGGAGCATTTTGAAATTGATCAGGAGGGTTTGTATTTTTAAGCCCTGCTGTGTCTCTGTGCAAATGTCATACTGATCCATGCTAGTAAGTAATAACGTATATAAATAAATATAAAAGCATTATCGGTAGCCTATAACTCACCCAGCAAAATACTATTTTCAGAGCAGGAGGATTTATTTTGGTGGGAGGCTAGGTATGTAATCTCCCCCTTTTTCCCCTGCTAAAGGACTCTACATTGCTCCTTTTTATTTTGGCTGATCATACACGGTATGAAACTCTAGTGGTTTCATAGACTCATAGACTTTAAGGTCAGAAGGGACTACTATGATCGTCTAGTCTGACCTCCTGCACAATGCAGGCCACAGAATCTCACCCACCCACTCCTGTAACAAACCCCTGACCTAAGTCTGAGCTGTTGAAGTCCTCAACTCATGGTTTAAAGACTTCAAGGTTCAGAGAATCCTCCAGCAAGTGACCCATTCCCCACGCTGCAGGGGAAGGCGAAAAACCCCCAGGGCCTCTGTCAATCTGCTCTAGAGGAAAATTCCTTCCCGACCCCAAATATGGCAATCGGCTAAAACCTGAGCATAAACTGGTTGCACCTCCCTTTGGAGCCCATCAGCATTATTTCTAAGTCAGCTGGTAGGGAACTCTGAGTGAGGCAAGGTGTATATTACAGCTTGGGCGTATAAGTAATTTCCTCTGCATGCCAGGTGATTTACTTGCTAGTTAACATCCTGTGTATTGGCATGTATTTAAACCTTGTGGGCTTCTCTGTGCTGGGAAATTAGATAATATTAATACACAACCCTGATGGGTCACAGTAACTAACACACTGTTCAACATGACATACCATTAATTGAAGACTAGGACTGTTGTGTATAATATTGTGTCAGCTGGTTGTGGTTGACCCAACGTAGACAAGCCCAGAGTCTCAACTGCATGTAGTGTATCAGAAAAAGGCATTTCTCAGGTCCATTTAGGCCTCAGATTTGTTTTATACAAACAAGTTTTTCCAATAATCTAGATTTAATAGAAGTATTTCCACAGTTGTTTAATAGGGATATTTTACTTGCATTTAAACTTACCTCATCAGTCTCTGCAGCCCAGACACTGCAGCACGATGCTAGTTTAATGAGAACAAGAAAGTAAAAATCTCTAGAAACTGTCTTTTCTGTTTCAATTATTCAACATGAGTGAAATGCTCTGTGTCTGTTCAGCACCTAGCACAGAGGGGTCATGGTCTGTGATTAGGGCTCCTGGGTGCTTCAGTACTACAAAATAATAAATTAATAAGCAGCATTAATGATGAAAATATGTGATATTGATGCTTTCATTTTAACGATCTAAAGAGTTATTAATACAGGTAAAGGTGTGTGTGGTTTTTGCTTTTTAAATATGGGGTAAGTCCTATGGTTCTTACTTAGGCAAAAGCACTATTCATTTCAATGGGAGCTTTGCTTGAGTAAGTAGGATTGCAGGTTTTGCCCCTTATTTTGGACCTGCCAGTATCCTTTTGATACAGTGAGTCTTACATTTCTGTCAGAGAAAAGTATCGTAAATTCATGCAGGATGAGGGAATAGGCCCTTCTGAGTCAGCAAAATGTCTGTGTACAGGATATGTTCTGTAGAACCTCATCAGCTCCTGTAAGACCATGTCCTGTATATAGACATTTTGCAAAAAGAAAAGGAGTACTTGTGGCACCTTAGAGACTAACAAATTTATCTGAGCGTAAGCTTTCGTGAGCTACAGCTCACTTCGTCGGATGCATCCGATGAAGTGAGCTGTAGCTCACGAAAGCTTACGCTCAGATAAATTTGTTAGTCTCTAAGGTGCCACAGTACTCCTTTTCTTTTTGGAGATACAGACTAACACGGCTGCTACTCTGAAAATAGACATTTTGCTAAGTCTGCAGTGGTGACATTGAAAATCTCTCCTCTGTGTTTTGAGGAGAACACTGTACTTCATTTTGATTTCTGTTTTTCTTTTCTAGTAAATCTGGCATGGGCCAGTTGACTGTATTGCTAGTTTTCTCTGTGAACTCATGTCTTGAGTTCTATTTGTGTCGAGCATATTCTGCCAGGGGTGTAAAGGAGGGAGGGAGGTAGCATTTTAGTGTGTACAGGATATACCTTCGTAAGTCTTGGAGGAACATGGGAAGATACTTTGGGTTTAAGTAAAGATGAGGGGGCGCCTTTCTGGCTGACTCCAGCATTTTAACTAACCCCATGAACTGGGTTACCTGGTGTTACCTAAAAGATTTCCACTGGAGTGGGCGTGGCCTGAATAGTGA